TCATTCGATTAGGCAAATTGACTGCGTTATTGGAGTGGCCGATCCCATCGAGCTCTGTACCGGGGAATTATCAGTGCTTGGAGGATTTCGATTTTTCACAGCCAGGATATTAGTCGCAGGTACACTTCAGGGGATATCAAGATAAACTATCGGCTCGGAGTTATGCGTATATAAAATGCATTTTCAAAAAAAGCTAAAGAAATTGTCGATTTCGAGTTCCCGTAAATTCGACCTGCACGCATACGCGTGGATATATAATCCGGAGCCCGGAGTCGTTCTAGAACCAAAAATCGAAGTCTCGAGCCGATCTGAAGTGTAGTGACGTGCCAACGAGAAAGAGAGAGAGAGAGAGAGAGAGAGCGAGGAAGTAGAGTAGGAGAGCTCGATTAGCATGCATAATCGGCTGTTGGTGCTCTATAAACCATCACCCTCCACACATGCATCTCACGAGTGTATTATGTACTACTCACTCGTGTCGCAACTCAAGAGGACACTGAGTGTGTGTATCTGATGCCAACGTCTACGAGCGTGTGCGTATTGGTGTTTTATGAGTTTATTGTGGTATATTGGCCGTGTTGGGTGTCGTTGCTATACTACGGCGTAAATAACAGCTGAGCTTCTTTATCATTCATCCAAATAAACAATTTTAGTTTCATCGAGACGCAAAACTCGGTGACGTCATTAGGCTGTGTCATATTTTTTTAAACGATAGTTAATGCAATAGTGCACTCGAGGAGGTGTGTGTGAATCATCAGTAATTATCGGTAAGTAGAGTAAGTCAAACTTTGGTCAGACGCAGTTGTTAATGCTCGAAATCACCATTTTGTTGATCAGCTTGGCAAAAAATTAATCATAGAAAGTAAGAGATCTTTTGCACTGGTGGTGTGGTTCAATAATTTTTAGGATATCGATAACTCACACAAATTATTCAATTGGGAGAATTTTACCATCTCACTCTTGATACGAATACGAGGCAAAAAATCGATTTCTCGATCGCACGGCATTCATTAGTATAGCAAACTGACGAAAAAAAGGAGAAAAAAAACCTAGTGTCACCCCAGCGAAAATCGCGCAAAGAACCCAATATCCTTACCCCAAGCGAGAGAAAAATCTTTCCTCTTAAGCGCAAAGAATCGGCATCGTACGTGTCCGGGCCCCGTGGGGGTGAAAGCTCGTGGCCCCTTTTTTCCGGGTCTGTAGAGAGGGTGGATGTGGAAGGGGGGGGGTCAGGTTGATTAGCTGACCAGCTAACGGACACACAGGCTCCCACTTTCTCCGCCCATCATTCGCGCGACCCCCTTTTGCCGTTGAGGCACCCCACCTCCCGCAAGCCAGACGCGCGACGCTGACTAGCGCGATGCTCGACTTTGGTCAGCAGTCGATCGAGGACCACCGCAGCGTCATAACGCGAATTTTTACTCTCTTACTTGCTCGCTTTTTTGGACGGCTGGCTCGTCCTACTCCTTTTTCCACCTGATTTTTCGGGTTTTTTCGATACTCGAGCGACAACCCGTGTTTTTCGTTCGTTTGCACACCAAAGGTGCGGCTGGCCGTACCGATTTTTCTCCGATTCGTGTGCAAGATAACAACCGCACAATAAACTGTTCTCGATAAATCGTAAAAATAACACACCCGATGAACGACAACAAGCCGATCGATCGGCCAATCGAAAAAAAAATCGGCAAGTGAAATCGAAGCTCCCGATCTATCACGAAGCAGCAGTGCAATCCGGAGAATGAACAGCGCCGATGTTGCCGAGATAAGCTTCGAGCCACGGCACCCTGACGCTTAGCATCGGAGTACGAGTACACACCAACTCGCGCGATATAAAACGATCGAGCGATCACGATACAATCGTAGATGCGAGGAAGCAAAGGAGTAAATTCCGCATTAGCGCTCGGGAGGACCTTGCCTCGGCGATGTTAGCACCTTAGCCCCGGAAGGAAATAGGTTGTCGGGAGAGCGGACTGGATAAGGTATGGTCCATTTGTTTTCTCATTAAAAACAGCTTCCCGACAGTAGACCTGTCGAGCCGATTTTTTCGCAACCGCTCGCTCCATCTCGAAAGAGGGACTACAGTTAGTTCGTTCCGCTGTAACTAGCTAAGTGAAAAGCCCGAGCATCGCGATCCCTCGAGCACGAAAAAAGCCCGGCCGGAGGAGCGCGGCACGGTAGCGAGCAAGCTCCAACCATTGAGTCGCCGGCGGGCTCGTCCAGCCGCTCGGACTCAGGTCCCGAGGCCTCGCTCGATCTCCCGGGGCGGTTTCTGCGACGCCGATCGTCCTCCTCGTCGTTCCTGACGAGCCACCCGCTCCGAAGGCGGCCCCTGAGACGTCGCAGCTCTGGCCTGCCGACGATACGGAGCTACTCGCCGGACGACAACGACGACGAAGAGGAGGAGGAGGATTCCGAGGACGACGAAGACCAAGAGGCGGTGCTGGTGCCTACGAGGCTGTACTACGGTGCCGATCGCAGTGACGACGACGCCGACGAAGAGGACGAAGACGAGGATTACGACGACGGAGAGACGGCACGCGAGGCCTTCGTCGTGTTGATGAGCGACTCCTTCGAGGTCATATCCTTGCCCGCCGACATGATGCAGGTACATACGGCGCTGCGGCAGCCTACCGATCTCCTTTTTCTTTGTTTCCTCGACGCCCTTCTGATAAATGACTCGTGCGGATGCGACTTTTCACTTGATTCGCAGCACTTCCGGGAACTGCACTTTGCACACTTTCGTTTGGGAAACAAAAAAGCCTCACGGCCTCGTGTTTATCGCGAGCTATCTGTATTGGCTGGAGAAATGTTTAAAAATTGTGTATGCATCCATTATTCATCGAGCCTAAGGCGATGGATCGATCGTAAAGGGAGAGGAAGCAAAAAAAAAAATTCTAATTCCGCTTCCGCATTGGGTAAATAAGTCTCTGGGGCAGGGACTGGTGTAAGCCGTGCACGAAGGGGGTAAAGTAGAGCGAAGGAAGGGGGAGAACCCCGTAGCTGCAATCTAGGCTAGACTCTGCATCCGAAATCACCTCGGCACTTTGCTGTTACACGTACACTTGGGTAACTTACACACTCACACGGAAGAGATCATCGACGCACTCGACCTCGAAGCCCCGAGTCGTCGCTCTCCCTTTCTCTCTCTCTCTCCCTCTGCTATGTCTTTTTTCTTCTCTATGTAGACCAGATATGCAGGGTCCTTGAAGAAAATTGTTACTTTCTCGAATTTGCATGCCAATGGGCCTCCGTGTGTTATGATTGGCCGAGTTTTGCGCTCTTGCCTTGGATTATTACCGTACGCTTTGCCACAGAAGTAGGTTCCTAATCATACGCTCCGTACAGTCGAGGGCTGTCATTACTACGCGCAGTTGTGTGTATAACGCTTAGAGTAACGCTGGTTCATACATACTGCTAATTGGCGGGCAAATCCCCTTTTTTTTATACAGATAGGGGTGCGTTTTGGGTTGTTACTGTGTTTTATGAATTATCTCGTAAAGCTGAAAAAAAAAAAAACTCATTAACCCCTCGATTTTTCACCAAACAATTATTGTGGTGACGAAATTTCATTTGTTTATTCGGTGATTCAAGCGAACATGTTTTTTCTTTTCAAGTTTCAAGCCAGAAAGTGACGATTAAATCGGTAATCTCTTCAGATTCGTGAAACGCAATGTTAAGTATGTCGCACGAATTGTTTTCCTTCGTCAAGTAGAACAAACCGATTATGGTCAGACACACGATTTGAGTTTCTGTTAGCCAATAGTTCAGTGTTATTGTAGCCCTCACTACCTATAAATTTTTTTTTTTTTTTTTAAGTAGAGTGCTCTACATCCGGCTCCTTTAATAAGGGCACTACTATGGGCACTTAGCACTTGGGAGAAGGAAGGGAAGTGGGATAGGAGGCCTCCCATTACTGGGAGGGGGGTAGGGGGAATTAGGCAATTTTTGCTGCGAGAAGGTCGCCTAAACCCTCATCGAAGAGCATTGCGTGGTGAAAAAGCACATGTGAAAAATCACAGAGGTACTTGCTTGAAAAGTCGCACTGGCCGGGAATTGAACCACGGTCTCCCGCGTGCCAATCCACGACCTAGCCGACTGATCCACCGCGCGCTCAAGAACTATATATATGATACATAACGTAATGTACTAATTATCCAAAACACTTTCCTCCCAACAAGTAGAACAAGCCGAGTATGATCAGACATACGATCTTACTTTCTATAAGCCCATATAAGCCAACTAGTAGACCAATAATATTGTAACTATTATTACCTATACGTGATAAATAACGTGAAATTTCATCTAACAACTCTTTCCTCTTACCAAGTAGAACAAGTCAATTATGGTCAGCCATACGATCTAAGTTTCTGTTAGCCAATTAATAGCCCAGTGTTATTGTAAAAAATACTGCCTATATGTACGATAAATAATGTAAAATATTGTTATCCAACACACTTTCCTCCCATTAAGTAGAACAAGTCGATTACGATCAGACATGCGATTTTAATTTCTATAAGCCAACTAATAGGCCAATACTATCGTATTTATTATTACCTATACGTGATAAATAACGTGAAATCTTATCCAACAACTCTATTCTCACAGCAAGTAGAACAAGTCGATTATGACCAGACACACAATCTAAGTTTCTGTTAGCCAATTAATATACCATGCAGTGGTATTGTACATACATGATAAATAACGTAAAATCTACTCTACAAGTTATTTTTCGCGTTAAGTAGAACAAGCCCAATAGGTTTATTGTGTCATAACTATTACTGGATGTAACAAAAAAAAATCTAGACTAAAAAACCAACCAACAACAATTTTACATTCCAATAACTCTTTTTATCCCCACAAAGTAGAACAAATCAATTATAGCCGTAAATTTAAACAAGCCTCCTTTGTATATTAATGGACTCATAAATGTATAAATAATTCGACGTTCTCGTTTGTTTTTGTTTTCATTCGTTTGACGAACCAACGCATCCCGTTTCCACCAGCCGGCGAGTTACGGCAAGAAGAGCAATACGTGGTACGTGTCGACAGCAGCGGGGGGCGGTGGAAGCCGGGGCGGAGGCGGCGCGATGCCCGGGATCGGCGGGGGTGGCGGCGGGGCCGGGGGTATCGGTGGTGGTGGCCTGGGGGGGTGGCAGAGCCGCAGCACCCCGGCCGTCGCCAGCCTCAGCAGGAAGGCTTCCATCACCGACGAGGCACCGCCACCCGGTGGCGGTAAGCCCTCTTCCGGCCGCGTTATTCGCATTGTCAACAACCTCGACCACACCGTGCAGGTAAACCATGTACACATATATGTGTATATTTTGGCGTGTGTGTATGGGAAGTACGTTTGTTGGCCTTTTTTGTGCCATTTAGGGAGCATTTTTTCTTTTGGTATTGCTGGTGCTGGGAATCGCCAAGAGTTTTTAGATTTGCGTGTTTTTGCTTATGTAATTGGCCCTTTAACGCTCTCGTGTTGGCTTTATCGTCGACACTACTGTTCTTTTGCAGTTGGCGCTTTTTTCTTATTTTCTTGAGTTTCAGAATTTTTTGGGCTATTACGTTGAGTATAAAAAATAATTTTTTTTTTCCAAACGATAATTTTATGAAAAAGCTAATCCGATATAAAAATTTTCCTTGCCGTGATTGCATTATTTTTTTTATACTTTATCATGCTAGCTTATAAAACGTTTTACAACTACTTTTGCCAATTTGCATATTTAGCGATGCGATGCGATCGTTTTTCATTATTTTTAATTGCACAGCCATGCCCTTTAGCGATAAATAATCTCACGTCTGTATAGCTATAGGATTATTGAGAAAAACTATTTTCGTACTTGCACGCGCGTCCATTCGATTTTCATGCATACCCACTTATAATGAAACTTTTTCTTCAAAAAAAAAAAAAAAAAAAAAAAAAAAAAAATGCAGTGTCGAGTGCTGTTGAATTTACGCACGTCACAGCCATTCGAGGAAGTCCTCGAAGACTTGGGCCAGGTGCTTAAGATGAACGGAGCCAAGAGGATGTTTACAGTGTCAGGACAGGAGGTGAGAGACATCATATAACATTATTTTTTTCAATTCCCAAGCATTTTCGTACTCTTAGAGTGGCCATTAGAATTTCAAATTACTCTTATGGATCGTTTGAAAATTTATGCGTGTACGTGTAATACCAGCCTTCCGCAAAACACTTGCTTACAAAGGAATATATTTTTCATTTTTTTTTTTTTTTTTCCCTTTTACCTCACTCTTACGTTTATCATGAATTTTAATTGTGTGCCAAGTAATCATGTACCTACACGTACGTACACCAACACACGTTGTCTTGACGTTTCTTTTCAGCTATACGCAATAAAGTGCTCAGGGCTATTGTTTTGCATACTGCGGTGCACGAAACCACTGCGCTACTATTGACTTTGCGAGCGACGTAGTATCCCGTACCGAGAATCTGTCGATTCCTTTCTTTTTTCAACATTCAATTTTTCATTTCTTCTCATACAGTAAAAAAAAAAAAAAATTATAGTTTACAACAAATAGATTTTAAAAAAAAAGGATTTATGACGCGATGAAACGAGTTTAAATCTTATTTTAAAGATGAACAAAACGACCTATATTTCAGAGCCGCAGTTAATTTTTCTAAATTTAATACTCAGCAAAAAACGTATACGTGCACATGCGCGGGCCTTGAAAATAATTCGTACGTGATGAAAAATATATAATACCCGCGGGTAATAACGAATTCCCCGAGTGTCCTTCGCGAATAATTTGAACGGTTTATTATCCCTCGTTAGACGATCAAAATAATATCCATTAATACCTGCCCTCGCGAACAAGGAAAAAAAAAAAAAAAAAAAGCATCACCCACCATGTACGCACTTTCCAAACGACAGCGAATCACGGCAGAACAGTAAATATCCCGCAAGTGCAAGTCGGAGGTCGGGAGGCGACTAACCCCGCGTTGCAATTAGCGGTGCTTTCGTTATTTTATATTCCAAGCTATCGGAAAAGGTTGCGCGTGTCGGGGATTTATCGCGGCTTTTGAATTACGGCCCATCGCGCGGCGTGTAAGTAATGGGCCACTTTTCCCTACTCTCGCGCTACACCATTCAGACAACGAGGTGTTGTTCCGAGGAAGGAAGAAGAGCAACGTGTCTGATTATGCGGTGATAATAATAATAATAATCATTTCTGCCGGGGCTCTCGAGTGGGGATGATCGCACCTCGCGGAGGTTCTCTACCTATCGGACAAAAAAACTCTAGCTGCCGAGCAAAAAAAAAAAAGGCGCCGCAACGCAAAGCCCCGTTTGGCCGTGCTTGTATCCGCCTAATATTTTTTTCCCCGCGACTCGTGAGGGTCGCGGGGGAGTCGGGAAAGAAAAATAAGCCCATATTTTAATTTCAAAAGAAAGTATTATATACGTGTACGTACGCCCGTACTCGTGGTGTATATACATATGTACATGTAGAATCTCGGTGTTGGCAATCAAAATAATCAATCTCCGCGAAAATCAGCATAAATACAGGAAGAGGCCCTTTCGACGACTCACAGCCTTCGAGCACGTGCTGCGCCGTGCACCCGCTATATATACCGTTACAACCCTCCGTATACTCGTTTCGCTTCGGTATATCACGCGATATCGCGCGAATTTTCGCACTCTGCCCGCATACATATATGTACATATATACGGGCTCATGGATGTACATGACAACACCGCTGTACACGTTACCGATCAGTGACGTAAAAGTGACGCGGACGTTTTTTCCCGACCTCGTTACCTCCTCTCTTATACCCATACGAGAGGGTATACATTCATCACCTGTAACCCGCCGTAGAGAAAGTTTGGGAGTAGATTTTCTATCGGTGCCGCGATATTTTTTTTCAGGTCACGACCGCATATGAATTTCAAATTGATGCCGTTCGATCTATATACATGCACGGGCACTTTCGCGCGGTGAACGGTGTTGGCGTCCAACTCCCGCTTTCGAGGGTTTGCCCTTCGTTTTTTTTTTTTTTTTTTTCCAACGGTACAGCTGTACGTACGTACGACCGAACGACTAGTCTTTGTTTGTTTTTTGTTGGGTCTCTGTGTAGCTGCGCGTCATCGCTGCACGTGTACCTAAGGGTTTTTCATCCGATCGAAGCGAAGCATCTTTTTGAATTGAGGCCCCGGCAAGGTGACCGAGCGCGGTAATGACGTTTTCACTGTAATATCGGTACCATCTAATCGTTAGCTGATCGAAAAAAAAAAAAAAAAAAAAAAAATTAAAGGGATTGTAAGGCAGGAAGTTTGGAGTTACGTAACCGAGTTGCAATATTCGATTTTTCTCGTGAACGGCAGGCTGGTCAATAACGACAAGGGGGTAAAAACTGTACCGTAATTTTAATATAAAGAAAAAAACCACATTAACTCGGGCAAACTTGGAAAACAGGTGCGTAGCTTCTCGCAGCTGCGCAACGAGTTCGCCGACGTGGACACGTTCTACCTGGGCACGGGTACCGGCGGCATAGCCACGGCCATCGGCTCGCCAGCGCGCAGGTCGCGTTCCCGAGGCCCGGCCGCGGTGGTCGAGGAAGTCCCGGGCCGTCAGCGAAGGGCTCGCAGCAAAAGTCGACCCCGTGCCCTCTACGCCCCCGAGTCCGAAGTAGTACGAGTCAACGGTTAGTCGAACGAGTACCTTTTTTTTTTTTTATATATATAACTGTTGGCGGACAGATTACAGCGTGGTCGAGGTGTTGCGCGAGGAACCGGCCCGCGTGACCATCCGCGGCCTGAGACGCTCGTTCTACCCACCGTCGCACCTACCGCCTGTCGACAACTCGCCCCCGGAAAAGAAGCTCACCCTCGAGTGGGTCTACGGCTACCGGGGCACCGACACGAGGCGCAACCTCTGGGTGCTGCCCAGCGGCGAGCTGCTCTACTACGTTGCGGCCGTCGCGGTGCTCTACGACCGCGAGGAGAACTCACAGCGACACTACGTCGGACACACCGAGGACATCACCTGTATGGAGGTGAGTGGTTTTTTTTTTTTTTTTTTTTTTTTTTTTTTTTTTTTTTNTTTTTTTTTTTTTTTTTTTTTTTTTTTTTTTTTTTTTTTTTCCCTAAACGACGCGTTACACTTGAGAAAACAATTCGAGTGAATTTATTCAAACGCGTTGCGCAAGAGGAACTCCATATTAAGTTTCCGATAAATTCTTTCTGTGAACTTTTTTTTTTTTTTTTTTTTTTTTTCCCTCATCGATTTGGCTAAACCGACCCCACCTTTCAAGGTCCACCCGAGCAGGGAACTAGTTGCCTCGGGCCAGAGGGCGGGTAGGCACAGAAAGGCCCAGCCGCACGTGAGGATCTGGTCGACCGAGACCCTCCTCACGCTCTACGTCTTCGGCATGACCGAGTTCCAGATGGGCGTCTCCGCCCTGGCCTTCTCCCAACTGGTAAATATAAAACCTGGGGGGGGGGGAGGAAAACCGAGTCCTTTAAATACTCTCATTCCTTCCCTCGACAGAACGGGGGTAGCTACGTGCTCGTCGTCGACTCGGGCAGGGAAGCCATCCTGTCGGTCTGGCAGTGGCAGTGGGGCCACCTCCTCGGCAAAGTCGCTGTAAGACACTCGTGCAATTAATCCCTACGGCTTAGCGTAGACTAGCGTTTATCACGCGGAAAGCATATTTGTTGAAAATAAGTTGTTCTTACGGCAGACCCTGCAAGAGGACCTCACCGGGGCGGCCTTCCACCCGCTGGACGACAACCTCCTGATAACGCACGGCAAGGGCCACCTGACCTTCTGGAACCGCAGGAAGGACGGCTTTTTCGAGAGGACGGACATCATCAAGCCCGTACGTGTTTTCTTTTTCTCTCTATACTTATCGATCATCAATTGGATGGAGAGAGAGAGAGAGAGAAAAAAAAAAAAAATTAATGTTCCTCCCACCAGCCGTCAAGGACGCACGTGACGAGCATCCAGTTCGAGCAAGACGGGGACGTGGTGACGGCAGACAGCGACGGCTTCATAACCGTGTACTCGGTGGACGCTGACGGCGCGTACTTCATAAGGATGGAGTTCGAGGCGCACAACAAGGGCATCAGCTCGCTCGTGATGCTCTCCGAGGGCACGCTGCTGTCCGGTGGCGAGAAGGACCGGAAGATCGCCGCGTGGGACTCGCTGCAAAACTACAAGCGCATCACCGACACCAAGGTAAAATACCTGTTAGTGGAAAAAAAAAAAAAAAAAAAAAAAAAAGAGCGAATCGTTAACCGCGATAAACGAACGTGTAGCTGCCAGAGTCTGCGGGTGGGGTGCGGAGTATCTACCCGCAGCGTCCGGGGCGCAACGACGGCAACATATACGTGGGGACGACGCGCAACAACATACTCGAGGGCTCGCTGCAGCGGCGCTTCAACCAGGTGGTGTTTGGACACGGGCGGCAGCTATGGGGCTTGGCCGTGCACCCGGACGACGAGGTCTTCGCCACGGCCGGCCACGACAAGAACATTGCCCTGTGGAGGCGGCACAAGCTACTCTGGACGACCCAGGTGGGCTTCGAGTGCATATGCATCGCCTTTCATCCGTTCGGCGTGGCGTTGGCCGCTGGTTCCTCGGAGGGACACTTGCTCGTCCTCGCGGCCGACACCGGGGCCGCCGTGGCGACGCTCAGGGTCTGCGGCTCGCCGCTCTCCTGCATCGGCTACAATCCGAGTGAGTTTGTTTTTTTTTTTTTGCCTCGTGTTTTTCATTGGTTTTGCGCGATTCATACAATGCCAACGTTGTGCACGCACCATCAGCTGGAGAAATGGTGGCGATGGGCTCGCAGAACGGCAGTGTTTACCTGTTCCGGGTGTCGAGGGACGGGTTCTCGTACAAGAAGAGCAACAAGATACGGGGCACCCAGCCGTTGGCCCAGATAGACTGGAGCTCGGACAGCCGCTTCCTGCAGACGGTCACTCAGGACTACGATCTTGTTTTCTGTGAGTCTTTTACACCTTTTTGTTTATCTCTCTCTCTCTCGTTCGCTCGTTCATCCCCATGGGTTTCTTTTGTTCCCGACACAGGGGACGTGAAAGCTCTGTCCTCCGAAAAGAGCCCGCTCATAATGAAGGACGTCAAATGGTACACGCACAACTGTACCGTGGGATACTTGGTGTCTGGTAGGTGACACACACATATATACATGTATATATACCTGGCAATGGTAAATAACACACGAAAGACATTTTTCTTTTTAATCATCATCTCGGTTATTTATTAACAAATCTTTATTACATCTTCGTGGCGCGTGTATACACTATGTACAACGGTATCACCATCATCACCATAACTATAATATTATTATTGTTGTCGTGTGCATGTACAAATTTCTTGATCGCACTGGACGCACCGGGACTGTATTATGCAGCTGGAATAAAAAAAATTCTGATCCAGAGCCTCGCCACAGTCCCAATGCGTGTACATAATCACTGTTTTTTTTTTTTTTTTTTTTCATTTCTACAAAAATAAGCACCAAAATCGTACAACGCGCTTTTTCCTTATGTACCAATAACTCAATCGATCGCTACAAGTTCATTTGAATCGCACTTTGCACCTAAAACAAAAGAACCCCCCTCTCCCTTGCCTAGCCATTCCTCTGCATCAATGACAAAAAAAAAAAAAAAAAAAATAATAATAATAATTAACGCCCAGGTATGTGGAACAACCGTTACTACCCGCTGACCACTGTGGTGACGACCTCGAGCCGCTCGGCGGCCCACGACATGCTCGTGAGCGGCGACGCCGAGGGCTACCTGCGGCTGTTCCGTTACCCGTGCACCAGCGCCAAGGCCGAGTACGTCGAGGAGAAGGTTTACAGTTCGCTCGTCGCTTGCGCCCGTTTCCTCTACAACGACCAAAACGTCGTCACCGTAGGCGGCACCGACGCGGCCCTCATGCTCTGGGAACTCGTCGACGAATAGTTGGACGCCAGCCCGCCCGCTTCACCCGTTTACATACGCGCGCAGTAGCGCCTACACGCGGTAAACGTTTTTTCGCGCCCTCCGACATAACTCCCTCTTTAGATTTGTTTTTTTTTTTTCTCCCTCTATAAAGACATGATAGATGATTCAGTGCCGCGCGCACCCGCGTTTCGTTCATTTTGGGTACCTACAGCAGATGCTTTTGGCGGACAGTTCGCGAAGATGACACGACTTTCGACAAGTGGGTTGGGTTGGTTTTCAAAAGAAATCGATTGCTATTATTATGATTCGAACCGAGTCTTGAGAATAATAATGCCATAGGACGTATATTTTTTTAATAACAAGGGCAACTTTACTTCATTTCCGTCTACGTCAATATAATTACTTCGATTTCCAAGTGACAGCTTTCGTACTTTTCTTTTAGCAGAGAGTTGTTATTATTATATCTATTGACCTTTTTACCTCTGTATTATACACTTATTAATGACAAATTACATCATCATCATCATCATCATAATCATTGTTAAGTATGATGTGAAGATGACAAAAAACAATAATAATCGATCCTCATTTTTGGAACATAAATTGATTAAAATAATCCAATCAGTAGTTTTTGAGATTTATCTGAGTAAATATGACATAGAGAAGCACTGAATCTGTCTATATGCGACGTGACGAAATGCTCCACTACTTTTTGCAGTTAAATTTTGTGTCACGACGGTACAATCTGACGTCGTGAGGACATATTGTTCGAATGTAAAATTCGATCCGAAAAAAAGCGTTTGCTGCGCGCAATATTTATTCGCAGAGTAATAATTAATCCCCGATTTTCCACTTAAAAAAGATGATACTCCTGCCATCCTTTGAACGTCTGCCAGACAGGTATTATTATATATTGTTGTAGAAAATGTTTAAGAAAAAAAAAAAAAGAAGAAAGAAAATCTCCGAACGACATCGCGCCGATGCGAGAAAAGAGGTATTAAACAATGTGTTGTTTATCCGTCACACACAAAATTTTGCCGAAACGAAAAAAAAAATGGCAATAACCAAAATTCATTTGTAAGCGACTCTGATTACATACTTAGAGAGCGCAAATTAAAAAAAAAAAAAAAAAAAAAAAAAAAACCAGCCACCTATTTTATTTGTAAAACCGCACTCGCTGTTGTTCGGAAGTTTCGAGATGCGAAAGGCACAAGGTCACCCTGATGTTTTCAATGGATCAAGCGACTTGGCAATTGTTAAGTGTAACTTTGTACGAGGCAATACTTACGCCTCGATAATATTTGTCTTTTAAAAACATGCTTTTTTTTCAAGCATCTAACGTAACAAAAGTACTCTGAAAGAATGTGATTTTAAGAAATATCAAAGTAACTTGGCAATCTTATATCGACCTGAATTTTTGCTAAATTTATAATGTAAGATTTATTTATGGAAATTATGCAGCTAATAATCAAAAGGGTTGGATTACGCGATGATTCAAACATGTGAATGGTTTGAAAAGAATTTTTTTAAACATTGTAATTTAGCACTTGGAGAAATACATGTATCTTCGAGTATTTATTATCAAGTGTAATTATAAGGCACTAATTCTCATTGAAAAGTAAATGCATTGCTCAAATAAATAATTGTTATGACGGAAGATTTTGAGGAATATTTTATTGTGACGATTTTTGCACTGAATTGAGTGTCTTACAACAATAAAAAGAAGAAATTGTTTTATAAAAATCTGAAAATAAAAATTTTGATGAACTTACGGTAAACTGCATAAAATTTATTAATCAACTGGTATATATATACATAAATAATCAACTTAAAATTTTCTGAAAATCACAAGTTTAGAAGTTAAAACTCACAAGCTCAACTCATACAATAATTAAATTAAAATAAATTAATTACATCTTAAAAATAATGTTCATTGGATTTTGACAATTTTTTTAACAACTTCAAATATTTAAGAAATTTGTTTACTGGGATTTAAATGTTATTGTAAAAAGAGTGCCCCAATTTGAGTACTATTTTAGGTTTCTCAACAAAAATTAAATAAAAAGCAATATAATACGAATAAAATGAAATAACAGTAATAAGTGGTAATGATATAAATCGACTCCGTTATTGTTTCGTGATAGGTTTATAATTAACAAAAAACAAAAAGAACTTGATCGTTATTTTTCACGCATACTATAAATAATATCAATAAATTCGATGCAATTACCGAAAAAAAGAAATAAAGCTGATATATCATTATATGTCTGTGTTATATAATATCACGTATGATGTTATTCATTCTATTTTGTAATTATACATATATAAATAAGAATTAAACACCAGTAAGGTAGTATTACGAATTGTTGCAACTATTGTGAATATATTTACAACGAAGTAGTTAATATACAACTGCTTGAAACATGCCTGACGAGAAGTACGGGACTTAGGATTATTAGTACTATACCAATTGTGCACGTGTATACATACCCCTTTTTATAATACCGCAATAAAAAAAAGGTCTTTTTCAAAAGACATTAGGGTGACTTTGCCTCTTGAGAAATAATTGAAAAAAAAAAAAATAAAACAAAATATCATATTTGAAACGCAAGGTGCTGGCGCCTTGCTTTATTAGGATGTAAGCATATTAATACTAGCCTTGGAAAAAAAAAAAAAAAAATTAGGATAAGACTCTCGCTAGTCGAAATAGACTACCAGCAGTACAACAATTTCGCTCGCGCTCTTCATCACTCATATTTTTAAAATGATAAAGAACAGGAATGAGTTTGGAAAAATATACGTTGATTGCATCTTCATTTTTTTTATGTATTACATATTATTTTCATCGAGATTGTCGTTACAGTTTATTAAATTTTATGTATTACGTATTGCTTGAATAAAATAATCAAATTAATTAAAACAATACTTAAAAGTATGTAATACATTGTGAAACATATAATACATATAAAAGAAAACTCATTCCTGTTCTTTTCCCAATGCACATATTCTTCAGTTGTAGAAGTGTAATAAGCTGTTGCAGGTCAACACAAGTATCTCGTAGGAAAAGAAAAAAAACACCGTCACATTGACGCATAAGTTTTCTCACACATACATACGAAACTCAACGATGCACCTCAATGATGCACCTCATAAAATTATGATAAGAAAAATAATATCAAGAGATAAGGATTAGAGAGTAAGTAGCTGTCAGCCAGACTTTGTTCACAAGGAATGTTTTAATTCTTGCAAATAAAGAACATACCATGGATACGATCAAGTTTAATGTTAATAACAAAAATGTAGTAAAAAAAGCCCATTTCCTAAATCGAATTACTCCTTGTTTCGTTGTAAAATTAATTTTCATTTCCTTTTTATACACAACAGTAATCAAGATACTTTTTTTTTCCTCTGACAGCTTTAGATATGCAAAAAAAATAAAAATAAAATAAAGGACAAGAGAAAGCTCGCCTGGAGGTACAACGGTCATTTCCGAGACCGAGACCTCCCGGATTGACGCGCACATCGCCGCGTGAATCTAAAATTACTATCAAAGTGGGCTTAAGCTAACGATCTTTATTAAATTACCACGCTCTAATTCTATCGTTTGTTTTATACAAGTGAGAAATTTCATTCATTTTTCGATCAAGGAATAAGAAAAAGTTATTTTTTATTTGCATGCACAGTTGTTGGAAGAATCATGCTCATATTTGGTTCCATTATATGTAAGTATGTATGTGTATGTATTGGTTTGCATTCAAGTGTTGTCCACCTGATTTTGCGTCTGCTGGCCGCTGTTGCTCTCTTCCAAGACGATCTTCTGTTGCTGGACGTCAACTTTTACCTCTGGCCTCTGCTGTTCATCATCCTGAAATATGGTGTTTTTCTCCATATTTAGTTGCCGATTGTCGATCGGCACGCAATCTTTTGGCGAAGTCTGCCTCGAATCAATGTCCATTTTAGGTGTTGTGTTTGCATCACTAACAGTAACCACCAAAGGCTGACTGTTTATCTGACTATCCTCGGTCGTTTCAGGATCTTCAGGGATGGGTTGCAATTGGTTCTCTTCAGACGTTTTGGTATCTTCGTCGTGGTCCATCTTCACGTCGAGGTAGCACATCTTTTCGGGAAGGTTACTGTTGTCATTTGTGTGCACTGGTGTATGGTCATAACATGGCGTCCCACTAGGTGCGTAAATGTTAGCCAAGTGCTCGTACTGCGAAAAGGACTCTGCACTTCGTTGGCTCGTTTCTGACATGCTGCCTATATCTCTGTTGTTATACAAATTGAAACAATGACTCATTTGATGATAAAACATAGATTCACGAGAAATTTCGAGAATTGAAACTCATTTATACCTGGACTCGGTAGGAAAGAGATCTCTGTCGTAGTTCATGAGCTCGTAGTCCCGTTGTTCGGAATTCTGTCTGCGCCTCTCACGAGCCTCTTCTAAAGTCTTTGGCTCATCACTGGGCAACGTCGTTGCCGTTACCGGTGGACTCTCAACGTTGGCCTTCCTAAATATCAGAATTGACCTCTGAAAACCTTTGGATACGTGAACTGGTACTGTAATCGTCTCATACGAACGGAAGCCTACTTCTGTCAATAGGTAGGACGAAAACTTGGGCGGGTAGAATTCAATGTTTTGGTAGTTTCTGAATATTTTTTCCTGAAAATAATAATAATAATAATAATAATAATAAAAAATTAATGGGCGATACCTGGGATGAAAGAATTTGCATTCGTTGACTTACGGTTAATTTTTTTTTCTTCTTGTATCCAGACCAATTTTGTGGTTCTAAGATTAAGACACCGCCAGGCTTAAGTTGTGCATACATTCTTTTGAAGCTTTGTTGCAGTCCAGCATCGCCAAAATTCAGTTGAATCCACTTTGTAGTTGATAAGCAGAGAATAGTATCAAACTGAGGCTGCTCGGAAGTCAGAAGGGCATCGTCTTCTAATACGTAATTTCCCTGCAAAATTTAAGATAAAATTATCATTACGTGATTATTTTAATAAATTTTTGACTTACAATTCAACACGATGATTTTACATTTAATAAATATTTACTTGTTCTTGTAAGAATATACATTATTACCTGGACAAATGTGACATTATACGGAAAGCCCTTATACTCATGTTTTGTAAAGCCAGGTATATCAATGGGTCCATAATTTATGACCATTGATATCGGAAAAACATTAGGGTCAGCCTCCTTTACGGTTCCATCTTCAGCGACTGCTGGTGACTGCGACTGATAACAATTTATGTAATGCTTGACGTTCTTTCTTGCGATCTTTATTAACTTCTTGTCGATATCGATGCCAGTCACGCTTTGAGCCGCCAAGTCACGAGCCACTGACAGTGTGATGTGACCTATATTACAACCAATATCTAAAACATTTTTACCTTCAAAAAGTTCTTTTCTTTGACCAAATATAGTCAAGCGCGGATCTACCTCGTGGTGAGGATTTCTGTAGCCATAATAGCGATTGTAGTTGCCGTATTGAAACCTTGTGTTTTTGTCATCAAACCTTGGCATTGGCTCATTTACTTTCTTCTTTTTCTTGTCTTGATTAGGCCTGTGCTGAAGTCTGGATTTCCATGCTCCAGGTTGTGGGATCACAGGACTTACAATTTTGTCTTTGGAATCCAACTTTCTTAGTCTCTTATCTTTCGGCTCGTCCAAACACTTGAGCTTCGGTTTAATTTTTTCTTTTTGAGGTGGAAGCTGAGGTTGAGTATCTGCATTTGACTGTTGTTGCTCCTGTACTAACTGTTGCTCTTTAATGGGAGATTTAACTGAAAGTGGCTGCTCTGTGCAAGCTTCTTCTACAACTATTTCTGCAACTGAGCTTGCACCATCTATTGCTTGTGGTTCATTGTCTTTCATTTCTACTGAAGCATTTTTATCAACTCCATCGTTGTTTAATGATTTTTTCTTCTTCCTATTTTTGTGCTTTTTCTTATTATTCTTCTTGATCGGAGACAAAAGCTGCTTCTCATATTCTGCATCATCATTGCAATTTGTGAGATTCAATGGATCATATATGTTTGGAGGAATAATTACTTCTATTGCTTCTTTTCTATGCTTTGGAGTGGGTAGGGGACTTGATTTTGGCGTAACAGCATTTAAAGCCCTGTTCACCTCTTCGTCTTGCATGCTATTCAAATTTAGTGGATCACAAATATTACCACCCAACAGAAACTTTGTGGGTGGAATAATGCCGTCTTTCTTCCAGCGCTTTTTGGGTGGACAGAATTTACCATTGTTGGTAAAACTCTGTAATCGCTTGCGACCGTTAAACTTGAAGTGCCTATTTTCCTCGTGCTTGTTGTGCTTTTTGTGTGGTACATTAGGCACCTTCCTCGCGTTTTCCTTTTTGTTGGTCATTCCCACTCCCACTTTTATTGGATGGTCTACCGTGACTGAAGACATACTAAACACAAGCAGAACAAAAAAACTTTCGTTAATTGTTGAGAACACGTTAGACAAATTACATGATTATTTACTTTTTTGGTGCAATGCAAACAAAATTGGATATAACAGCAAAAATGACTATTAAAACACTGCATACTTGAGTTCAAGTCCAAGTCCCAATCAGTGCCTTGTCATGTGCATAAATTAATTCAAAAAGCTATGAATCAGTAAGCATGCGATGAAAAATGATAAATGAAACGTTGGCTCAATCAATTCCGTGTAAAACCAATGGATTGGCAAGAAACAAAAAAAAGTACACTAGTTTTTACAGCTTAAGAAGTAGCAGAATAAATAATCTTACAAATGCATAACAAGTAAAAATGCACCCAAGATGGGTATAAACAAAAAAAAAAAAAAAAAAAAAAAAAAAAAAAAAAAAAATTAAAGGGATTGTAAGGCAGGAAGTTTGGAGTTACGTAACCGAGTTGCAATATTCGATTTTTCTCGTGAACGGCAGGCTGGTCAATAACGACNTAGCGTTAAAAAAAAAAAAAAAGAAAAAAAAAAGACAAATACACTGTATAAAAGCGGAAAAACTTGCGAGAAACGTAAAAAAACGTTCCCTTATCACATTAATATATTTTCCATCCCAATATTCCTAATTTCAAATACCGCGCCTCGGCGCATGCGCACTCACGCCATCTCCATAAGCACACACACACACACACGCTCAACAAACAAGCACCCAGAACTCGCCCCTTAATTCGGATAAACGAAAATGAGCCAAGACTCAGCTTTTCCGAGCCCAGCCTTATCCAGGACGCTCACCTCGCTGTCCTGACCTCCTTCGTCGTGAGCCGCGAGTTGTCTCGATGGTGCTCCAATATCCAGGATTCCAAGCCCGCCTGGGCCCCGTAGCGATTGTTACGCCTCGGATTGGATGAATAAGATGACGACGACGACGACGACGCTCTATGAAAAACCGCGATAGAGAAGAGAGCCGCGACCCTTTCCTCTTCTCTTCGGCACAGCTCTATGTATATACACAAACGCTGTCGTGCCCGATGCAGCTGTGCGTGCGCTCGGCTCGAGTGTTGCCGAGGTACTTGCACCTCCTACAACGACAGAAAATTATTGGCGTATAGCTGGTGTTGCAGAGAGAGAGAGAGATGGCTCTGCGCCGCTATATTCATGGAAAATATGGGACATGGGACGGTGTGCCAGACAAGGATGGAGTTCACTACATAATAATTACGTGGGGTATCAAAGAGGAGGCGAAATAATAAGTATCGCTTGTTGGCAAATGGGAGTTTGCTTTTTGTTGGTTCGAGTATAGTTAACAGCAGAGTTGGATAAATTCGATAATTTCAGAGGTTGATTTTGTTATTTGTCAATATAAAATGCCTTGACAGGTTCGTTGTGATTATCTTACGTTTATTAAGTACAATCAATTTTCAAAGGTGCAGTCCCTGAAAGATCTTATGGGTATTTTTCTTCAAGTATATACCTACACCGCATCTGAAAACAAAAACCAGTGAATTTAATTTAAATTTTCAAAATGGATATGGAACAAATTAAAATGACGTAACTTTTATATAAATGTACCCATAAGCAACTTTTTTTTTGAAAAAGTATACTTAAAAACCTAAGCAAGTTACAAAAGCTCATCTTTTAGTTTGGAAACGCATCAACAAACAATTAGCTTAGAAACTGCAAGTTTTTAATTAGCTTCCATAGGTATTATAATCAATAAATTATTGCTGTAAAATCCGTAGAAATCACTATTTTTTAAATCTTATATCTAAGTATATCTATTCACAGGTTCAGGATTTCAATGGTTTAAAAAAACGTGGTTACCAAACAAATCCATTGTTAAATATATTTTTCATTTGTAAAAATTTAAATGGCCCTATGTAAACAAAATTTTCTACTTTCCTAATACTGCGGAAATAAGAGCTTACTCGCACATTAGTTATTCTAAGTGCGTTATAAAAATTGTGAATGTTTATTTTTCTTATACTGTTTGAAGTATGTTACTTTGGGTGGTGACTAAGCAATTGAAAAATCAACCTCCTTAATCAATAAATTTTTTTACAGCTTAAAAATCCATGAATAATAGCATTGAGATTGTATTATATATTATTATTTAAATTTCATTTCTTGAATCACTTAACAAACATTCAAAGTTCGTAAGATAGCGATGTGCATAAATATACTTAATTCTAGTTTATCCTCATACACATTCGCTCCACTATTCCCTTATTCATATCGAAAAATAAATTTTTTACATCTCTCGTAAAATTATTTTTTCAATATGTGCTTTCAAGTAGGTAAAGATGTATACGAGGGTAATAAGTCAAGAATAAAAAAAAAAAGAAAAAAATTACATTGTCCTCGGGGCACAGAAGTATGTATAACACCACACAAATACTTAATAGTTATAAATCTTATAATGCGCACATACGATCAAATATGTAATAAATCACAAGTGTTTATATAGCGCACTCGTGCATGCAAATAGAATGAAAAGGAGAAAAAGAGAAAATATTTTGTCCCTCCACCTTTGCTCGCCTTCCCCCTATCACTTTTACATCTCGACTATTAAATTAATAGACGATGATGAAAAAATAAAATAAAATAAATAAATCACGTTTTGAGTTTTCCTTGTATGTATACATTTGAAAAATTAAGATATCCGTACATTACCTACATGATTTACTATACTGTTGACGCGAGAAGGGAGATTGTGTTATTACATGACACAAAAATACTCAAATAATTTATCATTGCGTCGGTGCTTACGCGAATAAACTTAAATAAATAATAAATGGTTTCTTTTATGTGTCAGGTTGTCCCTTCGATCGAAGCTTCAGCGATGCTTGGACACACGGAGTAGGACTTGATTTTATTTTCCTGGATTTAAAGTCAAGTAGATTATTTATCATGACAATGCTCAGGGTGGCCATCCAACCCAAATATGGATTTTTATGACGCACTCGAGACGAGTCAGTCAACGACAGCAGTCCCAGAGGACTTTGCCACTGAAAAGTTTCAAATAAATCATCAAGCAGACTTTCAACCTGTAGTATTAATTTTGCTTTATTCCTTTGAATGTATTTTAACACGTGTTTTTGTTTCTTAAATTCTATTAAAAATGCAACGTATTACGACACGTTAACAATAACATATATGGCAAACGTGTTTTTCATATTTCAATTCTTCAACTATTTTGTTTTTAATTACAGAAATTGATTGGTGCAGATAAATGCGGACCTAATAGGTATACGTCTACTTATATTTTATTGATTCGTGAAAAACAATGATCACGATGCGGGAGAATCGACTGTTGTGCGTCAAGTGAGATAATGAACCCGGACTGTTTTTGGGGAAATCTATAGCACAAGTTACGATAAGATGGAGATATTTAATTTAATGTAACTAAAAGATAACGTTAGTGTTATTGTATTCAATAAGAAACTTTGATTTTGACATTGTCAACATCCAGACTCATTTTATTCAGGATTAGATTTTTGTTTGATAAAATTAAATATAAGTTGTCTGTTCCGCAACATAAACAGTATTTAATTTATTATTTTAATTTCCCACGAGATAATAAAAAATTGGATATGGTTTAATTTAGTAAATACTGAAATTTTTACCACAGAATTATATAGTTTGATACAAAATAATTTTATTGCATAAATATAAATTTTTGTAAAAAAATTTAAGTGGCAATTTTAGGTCAGAGAAGAGTCTCCCTTTGGAAGACTGAGAAGAGTAACATATCTGCAACACTGAAGGTTATAGTTTATAATATATTATACTAAAAGTCCGTTCATTCCTTTTTAAGGCGTTGGTCGAATCAAAGAACCAGCTCCATGGGCCCTGTAACGCATTTTTTGAGATAACCGAGACAAAGTAACCCATCACAGCATCTTACAGTGTGGCACTGAAACATCAAACGTTCGATTATTTTTTTAGAGTAGAATTTATCGGTATCGAGTAAAGTTAAATAATGTTGTACCGTGAAGATATAACGTTTTGCCAAACGTAAATCTTTTATTTATTCTAATACATTTTTATCTGATATAGATTTATTACTTACGAACTGTCCCACTAAGCTGCACTGTTGAGCGAATCCTACAGCCAGTAATACCATAAGAATAAAGAAAATGTATCCCTTCATATTTTCACGGCTTTTTCCAATCTGTTGAGTTAATAAATTTACACTTCTTTACTTATTTACCAAAGATGTATTGCTAATAGGTTACTTAGAGCGCTGGTTGGAATTATTCTAAATTTCTTGAATATCTAACCGTTAAAAAAATATTTTTCTACATAATATTGTACGTCTAAATTTTGTAAATACTGTCTCATTTATATGAAAGAAACTAAAATTCATGTATGACGTTACGCTGGCATGCTTCTATGAAATTCCATTGTTACACGCTCGTGATTATTATGAACTGTAGCAACAAAACAATTAGATAAGAAAAATTTTTTAAATTAAATAAATGATGGATTATACTTGAAAAGTTACGGTAGTTGATGAAAAAATCAAGAAGCACATTTGAAACAAACATAAGTGTATTGATACAGAAAGATTTTTAAACCAATATATTTATTTAATTACGTCAAACGTATGTGAACAACTGTACATTGATAAAATAATTTTTTCATTACTTAAGAAAATTGCTCGTAAACTTACCACTGTATACCGGTACAAAATTTTATATAATACGTCGCCTACAGTGCTTACTTTGCAGATACGTAAAAAAATAATAATTACAACCGAAGAATATTGGCTTTTATACCTTGATTTTATTGATACATCTATAGAGTCTTATCATTGCATAACTCAAAGATTAAATGGTAATCATTTTGATTTACCATTGGTACTATTATATTTAAACGAGTACGATAATTTTTAAGATAGCATATTGTCTGATGCCTTGAAAAAAATGTAACGCTGTTATCTCTACGTTACAGATATGAAATTAACTTTCAAAATTTACTAAGCACTGTGGATGTAAACAATTTTATTTTATTCCTTTAATCGAGAGAGTACGAAAAATCATAATACACACTACGAGAGCATGTGAACAAGCCTCCTCATTTTGTACGGCTTTTATTCAAAATTTAAAATCTATAAGTACGTGATATTTTTGTCAAGAGACAGCATAAATTACATTACACTCAATATTACATGTACTAAAATTGAATATTTTCTGTCAAATGTACGGTTAGCGTGTATTTATTATCGAGGAGGTAAAATCTATGTAGAGTATCGAGGATCGGGATCCTTTTTTCCAAGCGGACGTTGGTCTTTTCCCGGGATTCTAAGTCCCATGGCAACCGTGCACTTGGCCAGATAGCTTGGACACTCTAAATATCGACAGCAGTCTGAATACCCGCCGCACTGTAACGTTAATTAAATATATTTAAANTAATAATTGGTAACATATTTATTACTTACACGTTGTCCTACATCGGCACACTCCGTATCTTGCTTCTGGCTGTGTACTCCGATTAACAAAATTGCAAAAACAAATAAACTGAATTTAGACATTTTTTAAATTATTTTTTATTAATTTTTCACTAATATATTCTCATTCAAACGGTAAATAATGGATGGAACGGGTCGAGTGTTGCTCAAAAACAATATTTTGAACAGAAAGCCGTGTTTTGTTTTCTCAGTGACGGAAATTGCAATAAAGAGTTACGTTGATGCTGTCACGGGTTTATATCGTTTTGTTCCTCATTTGAAAAAAAGAAAGAGGGGCAGGCGGTTTCGCTTGCGTAAACAATGCAGTAAATTAATTAGTGATGTTCCTTGGGCTGTTTTAGCGCGCATCGTCAAACTTGGGGAACTAGTTCCGGGATACTCATAGTATTCAAATTGGATGAAGGAAAACCAAAACAAAATTTATATTGTAGACGTTTCTATGTATGTTTCTCTCTTCAATAAAAATTATACAGCGGCTTCAAAAAAACTGGTGTTATAATTTATTTACGTAACGTATTTCCATGCGTTTCATCAGATTAACGCTTGAACACCCATTTAATTTAAATAAATCGTTATTGTGCTACA